CTGAGGTGATGGAACCTATATCGTTCATGTCGGCTATATTGCCGAGGTCATGATACACCGATTTTTCACAACCAAGTCCTATAGTCTGCCTCATATGATAATATGATCATGTGATGTCATCATAATATTAAATTTTTAATCCAAAAGTCAATTCAATCAACAACTAATTGATCCTCCAACAAACCCAATAAGGGTTATATATTGGTAAGTAGCTAAACTACTTAGAACACTAAGGTTGAGTTTGGCAAGTCCATAAAAAGTTAAAAGGTTAAAAAATAATTCAAAAAGTTAAAAAGTTATCACTATTCACCAAAAGTCAAAAATTACGGTCGCACAACTCCCAATTTTTAATTCAAATATTCATATTTTTTTCCTTAATTTTTTAGTCCAAAAAGATAAAAAGCGCACTTATTTAAAATACCCCAAACAATCCCTAATATTTCAAATACAAGATCTTATATATATATATATATATATATTTATATATTAGTTGCTTTCTCATATCTCTTTCTTTCATGTTTCATCCAACCAAAAAGTGGCCCACATTTAATAAATGTATATATGGGAATTACTCGTGTTTGAAATTTTCTTTTCTATGTTGATGCATCAACATAATTTTTTTTTTTTTTTATCGGCAAAAAAAGAAACTTTATTGATGAAAAAAATAAGAACAAGGTATAAGATAAAATACATCAATAAAGGAAAGGGAAGTATAAAAGTATCACAATGGGCTAAATGATCCCAACTAGATTGGCACCACAGAGCTCACCCTATCATTTGCTAGCACCTCAAAGTTGGTGAGAGACCAACGAAAAAAAGAAGAAAGAAGAACCAGCCAACCAAAGCTAATTAAAGGAAATTAATTGACATTTCTTATAATTTATTGAAATCCCAACTATAATAATATAAAACAAGCATGTAATTTTCAAATCAGTAATACTAGGTATCATGAAAAGTCTTTCATGAAAATGATCATGAAAGATTTGTAACCTTTGGATTACATTTAGAATAAAATACCACACACTAATCAAGGTAATGTAAAGATCATAAATTTTTCATGATCATTTTTATGAAAAATTTTTCATGATCCCCAACATTTCTCTTTTCCAATACATCAAACCCATAGAAGTAAGGAACATATAGAAATACCACATCACGTAGCCTCTTGAACACGTGATGTGCACTCATTTCAAAGAAACGAAACCAACAAATGTAAGAAACATGTAATAGATAGGAACCAACACCCCAATATACCCGATGAATTTGTGATGTTCTTTCATTGGAGAAGTGAACTGCTACCAATGTTGTATTTGGTTGAGAGATTTGGGAATAGATTTGGAAAGAGAAATAGAAAAAGTAAGTGAAATATAAATAAAATATACTTACATTTCTCCTATTTTCACACATCTTTTCTTTTTCCTCTTTTAAATCCCTCCTCAAATCCCTTAATCAAACACAACATAAATGATTGTCTACACCTCTCTCAAGAGTAGTTTGCACTTTAATCTGATTAAAGGTACTTTGTTTTTTGGTTTTTTATTGGCAAAAGTAGAAAATGTTAAAGAAAGAGAACAAAAATAGAAGAAACATAGAGCCCACCAACACACAAAATGGCAAGTAACCAACTCAGATTACAAAAGAAAACTCACAAACTAAAGAAAACGGAATTCTCGTGTTGGTCTTGGATTGTTGTGTTAGTTGATTCCTTGTCAACTACTGCCCTTTGTGCATTGTGGATTCTTTGATATTGGATTTTGCTCTAGGCTTTGGCTTTTCTGAGATGCTTAAGAGGCAGGTTTTCTCTCCTTCATTTGTAGTATGATTTAGTTTGGCCTTTGTTTTGTCTTTTTACCATGCTTTTTGTTAGTGCTTGCATACGATTTTTCTAATCATCTTTGTACCACCAAGTTAGGATGAATTGGCTTGGTTTTGATGTGTTTTTGCACTCAAAACCTCTTATTGATGTAATTTTTTTTTATATGAACAAAAAAAATTTCTTTCCCAATTGAAATTAAAAGTCACCAGAAAGGTTGCTAAAATCTCATCTAGAAAAGTCAATAATAACTTTTAGCGATGCATTGTTAAAAGTGTCATTGAAAATGGCAGCGATGAATTTATATTGTTAAAAAATGTTTGATTTTGTAAACTAAACATTTGGTCGCTAATATTTCGTCACAAAATGTCCCAATTTGGTCGCAAAAAACAAAATAGTGACATTTTTAACAACAATTATATTTCATCGCTAAAGGCCAAATGACTTTCCGTACCGCTCATTTTCGTCGCTAAAAGTTAGAATTTGGGAATATTTTGTAACCATTTAATTTCATAATAAAAAATGTAAAAAATTAAATGTCATCGAATCATATATATATATATATATAATAAGTCACAATGGTTTTTGAATTTATGTCAAAAATGTATGTGAGATACATTTTGATCCGATGGCTGAGATTAATTCTAAGTTTATATCAGTGGTCCAGATCTCCCGTCCAATCACTTCTCCTCCTAAGCTTTTCCACCCACCCATGTCTGCCTCCCCGCCTCCCTCTCCCTCTCTGTTCTTTAACAGGTACATCTCTCTCTTCCTCCTATCTCTTTCATACGCTGCTCTCTCTTCTCTTGCGATGACCGCCGACCACCTCTCCTCTCCTTGGCCGGAGACCCAAACCCGAGCCCTCTATTCCTATGTTCCTCCCTTCGTCTCCCGCTCCCTCATCCCCCTTCCCCATCCCGAGCCCTCTCCCTCGCCGGAGACCCAGACCCATACCTTCTTCGATTCAGTGAGAGGAGAGAAAGAGGAGGGCATCGTCGTCCCGCCCGTCCCCCGCCGACACCCTACCCCGCCGTCGCCGACAAGAAGGTTCGAAATACATGAGGTAAAAGGTCACAGTCCACCTGATGAATTTAGATTCAGTTTTGGAACTAAAATGTCACGCCCTCAAAATTTATCTATTAAATATCATTGACATGCTTTATTTAAAGAAGTGTGAGTGCTGTGTGAGTGTGTGTCTTTGACAGTATGTGATGGCTGTATGTGATGGTTGTATGTGATTCAGTTTTAGATTCAGTTTTAGATTCAGTTTTGATCAATAGTGAAGCTGTGTGTGAGTGTGTGTCTTTGACAGTATGTGATGGCTTCTCCCTCCCTGTTCTTCTTCTTCCCTACCCTCCCTCCTCGCTTGCTCCCGAAACTGCACAAAAATCCCAAATCATCCAATTCAAGTTTGTCTTGAGTTGATCACTTCGCTCACTCTTCTCAAGTGTGTGTCTTTCATTTTATTATGAAACTTCTCTCGAATCAATTCAAGTGTGTGTCTTTCATTTCATTATGTTTGATTGCTATATAAACATGTCATTTTGTGTTGAAGAATAAGATTTTTTGGTTGAAGAATAAGATTTTTAAGAACAGTGATCTACGGAAAAAAAAAAAAAACATTGCATATATAATTCAAGAGGTAAATCTACCCCATCAAACTAAAAATCTAAAGATTTTTAGGAACAGTGATCTACGAAAAAAAAAAAAAACATTGCATATATAATTCAAGAGGTAAATCTACCCCATCAAACTAAAAATCTAGGTCATTTTCTGCATTTTTTTTTGGGTTATTGGTTTTGGACATTGAGGGGCACAGCTAAAGCGTTCTTTTCATTCTGTTTAGGTAAGTATGCTTGGAGTTCAAATTTTTTTTCTTTGTTCTTTGTGCATCATAAGTAAATTGTAAATTGTAAAATACTTTTTGTTGGGTTTTTTTTGTTGGCTTTTCATGTGTTTATTGATGTGTTGCATTTATGTTAATGTGTTTGTTTTGGAATTGAATTTGTGAACTTTCTTCTCCCTTTGCATTGTAAATGTATGATGAAATGCTTAATGAAATTTTATTTTAACAATAAGTTACATCAATCCCCCCCTTGCCTTGAATTCACATCATGTCTTCATTTGATGGATTTATGGAAAGCCCACCCCTTTTCAAAGTATTAGTAAATACGCCAACCAAACAACAGAAAATAAAAAATAAAAAAATTAAATGTCACTCTTCTGTATATATACATATATACATGTCTTAAATTTGTGTTGATTTGATTGCATGAAACTTCTCTCGAATTAATAGCCTCACTTTACCTTTTAATTTCTCTCTCTCTCTCTCTCTCTCTCTCTCTCACTGTTGGTTGATTTAGGTTTTTATATCTGGATCGATGGATCATACTATTTTATTTTATTTTTGTTTGTGTTTAAGGCTTCAAGGTCGTTTCTTTGTTTCCGGAGTGGTATACTTCAACTGCAAAATTGAGAAAGAACAATCACTAATTGTTATTTGTTATTTATTATTTGTGTTCAAATGTGGTGAGATAGAAATTAACTTATATTCTCATAGAAAACTGCAAAGAAAACTCTTCAACTTATATTCTCATAGGCATTTTCATTTCAGTAGAAATTAACTTCAAACTCTTCAATTCAGTATTAGCTCCTTTAGTGTTAAAAAGAAAATCCTTATTAAAGTCATTAACACATAAGCTAGAATGTTCTATCCATTAAAGCTTTATTTCAATTTATTTGGAAGTTGCAATATGAATCTGTTACCTATTGATCTTATTAATGTTATTTAAGTTATGAGAGGCATCATATTTTTCTGTACCTTGCATATTGCTAGACCGGCCTACCGAATGTGGTTGCACACAACCCTCACAGAAGAGCCAAGGGCAAGGGTCTGAAACTCCCATCCCATCCATTATTGACCACCTCTCTCAAACTGTCTGAAACTCTCCTATTCTCCCTCCCAATAATTATCCCATCCATCATTGACCACCTCTCTCAAACTGTCTCAAACTGTCTGAAACCTATAAAAAAATTCAATTAAAAAATATATAAAATGAAAATCTTTGATCCTTTGCCATACATAAAATGAAAATCTTTCTTCAATAAAGCTCAAGTTTTTAGTTATTTTTTTCTTTATTTGGTTTCATATCAGATGATAAAATTAAAAAAAAAATAAGGATATGGTTTCATATCAGATGAGCATTCAGTTCTTGCAAAGAGAAATCTGAGACTCAAACAGAAGGTAAGGGCATGAATATGATTTTATGTAATTGTATGCAGTACTTATTTGTTGGATGCAAGATTTTATTTTTATTATTTTTATTTTTTTGGTGTATTAAAGTTTGTGATTTTTTGAGTTATGGGAGATGGGTTTGAACTTTATTGACCTATTCAACTCTTGGTTATGGCCTGAATAAGGATATGGTTCAATTGATGTAACGGTTCAATTGGCACATGGCATGAAAGTTCTGGATGGTCTTTTGTGTACCTGTTTAGTTTGGTTCATTCCATCGGAATATCCGTTCTCATGTTTGGTTAAGTAAAAAAAAAAAGGAATTTACATGGGAAATGAAATCACCATTCACCAATTTAGGAGAATAGCCATTCCATTCTTGCCTAAAATCATTCCAACGAACGTAACGCAACCTTAATAATATTTTGTAATTTGGTTTCTCTCTCTGCAAATCAAGCAGGTTTTGTTGTGGGCTGAATTTTCAAACCCCCTATTGTTGCTTTAATTGCTGAAAATTTAGTTAATTGTTTGTGGTTTTGACGGTTTCTGATGAATTGCTTGAGCTTTCTCTATGGGAATATTGATCTTGATTGTGATGCGAAGTAACACAGGTCAGGGTGTGTGTAGTACAGGATTCAGGTTGGCCAAGGTTTATCAGTCATTAAATATCATGTGTAGTTTAATGCATTTCAAAATTTAAGCTTCAGGGGCAAGAACTTTGTTTTGAGAATAACCTCTGTGATCATGCAATTTATTTATTTTTACTATTGATCACAGTTCCGAGTTAGGAATCTATTTAAGTATCTATAGCTTGGTGTGCATCGATAGGCCTTTTAGGCTATGCCAATGCATCTGAGCCTGCAAAATGGTCCCATGCCAATCTGAATAATCATGGATTAAACTGCTCAAGTTCAGGCGAGCATAATGTTCGCCCAGCCTAGCCTTTATGTTTGCCTTTGTAGATTGACATTTATTCACCCCATAAATTCTTCAAAAACTTAGGCATGTTTTGAACTTGGAAAGCATGTGTGAATATGAGAGGTGTTTGAGTTTAAAATGAATGCAATTTAATAATTTAATCAATTTAATTTAAAGTACATAATATTATTAAGATGAACTTAAGAAAATCTCCGCCACTTGCATAATTAAAAATGACTAAATAATAGTCAAGTAAAACCTACCTATATAAATCCAAATTATAATGTTGTAAGTTTTAACATTCAAAATGTAATACCAAAATTCTGTTATAAATTAAACTGAACGATCTGTAATAATTCTTTATTTTATTTTATTTTGTTGGTCTTTATAGATTTTCCCTCCTCTTCTTGCAGTAGCAAAGTGTGTTTTGAGGAGAGAGAGAGAGAGAGAATGAGTGTGTAGCAAAGTGTGTTTTGAGAGGAGAGAGACAGAATGAGTGTGTGTTTTAAAATTTGAAATCTGAGAAAATGAGAGAGCGAGAAAGGACCGTGGGTGGGTGGTGTAGAGTTTTAAGCTTATTTTTTTATTTTATTTTATGTGTGGGGCTCTTGGGCGCATGTATTTTATTGTCTGTCACCTCACTCTAATTATAAAATTTATTTGAATATAATTTGACCTCAAATTTTTTTTTTCAACAAATTAAATAAAATATATTTTAATCCATAAAAAGAATAATATTTTTTTATATTTTTCAGTATTTTTATCAAAAAATGTTACAGATTCCATAAATTATTAAATAAATTACAGATTCCATAAATGTTAACACTCATTTTGATCTTAACAATATTTATACCGTGCCTTTAGGCACGGGCATACACTAGGTAGTTTAAAAACAAATTTCTGGTGTTTCTGAATTGGCATTTGCGAGTCGACTGCGATCAAATTTGTATGTGCATATATGTTAATTTTGTTTATAACATTCAATTGTCATGCAAGGTTATAACATTCAATTGCCAAATTTTGATTACTATTTTTTAAATTGTTGTATTGTTTGGTATGGTGCGCAGAATCTACTTCGAACCCCGATTGGAGCTCTCCGGTAGAGCTACTTCAGAGCTACACTAAACCTGAGGCTTCTATCTGTGCAAGGTAATATTTCTGTCTCTATTCCCTCTCTCTGTTGAAAAGAAAAAAATTAAATCCAAAAGAGTTCAAATAAAATTAAAAGAATTTTTCTGTAATATTCAAACAAGGGCCTCCGATTCCTCTAGACAATCACAAACCTTTGCCAGTTTTAAAGAGTTGCAACCTCTCTTTGGATCATTTAGAAGGTAGATTTTTTTCCCTTTTCAAATTTTTTTTTTATTGGCTCTGGATTTTAATGGTAGTTTAAAAACAAACTTCTGGAGTTTCTGAATTTGCATTTGCGAGTCGACTGCAATCAAATTTGTATGTGCATATATGTTAATGCAAGGTTATAACATTCAATTGCCAAATTTCGGTTGCTATTATAGAAAAATTGTCACTCACTTTTCCAATTCATTCGATTTTCACTAATTCTTCTTGCATATATTCTGCATACTAAGTTTTCGGGAGTACATAACATAGTTTTTGGTTTATTGGGCAAATTGATTGTAATGTTGCTTCAACTTACAAATAGATCATTTCATCCTAAAAGATGAGATCCATAGATTTAAATCTACATAACCAAACCTGCACCATTTTCCGATTCAAGATTATTGATTAGATAAATGGTAGGGAAGAGTTGAGAGGGAACTGCATATAAACTACACATCATTAGCTACCCCAGGGTTAAAGCAGAAATAATCTTCTTCACGGAAAAGCTTCCATTCCAAATTATTGTATAACTTGACATAATCCAACATTTGTTTAATAATGTGTCTAACTCGAAGACAATTTGGTAAAAAACCACTTCCATCGACCAAATGGAGTTTGTCAAAAGTAAAGCTACTAGAGTTCTATTAAGAGCACAAAGCAATTGTCAATTGGTTTTACACCAAATTCCAATACATGCCACAGTCAATAACTACCCAACAGTAGCATGTGCTTCCTTCCAGGGCCTAATCAACAAAACCCCTCAGCACCACAAAATCAATTATTAGCTGGCACAAACAGGAGAGAGAGAGAGAGAGAGAGAGAGAGAGAGAGAGAGATCAATACTTGGTAAATCAAGTGCATACCTTAGGAGCCATGTAACCAAGGGTTCCAGTTTCACTAGTCATGATTTATTTTCATTTTATATTGTTAGGTTTGAGTTTTCCAGAATTCTCTCTAACGCGCTGTTAACAGGTTATTTCTGCTCTCCTCCCTTTTTGATCTCATTGATGATTGAGATTTTATCCTTTTGATTGCCTAAGGACTTGGTGATTAGGGTTTATTGATTTTGACTGTATTGTGGTTTTGAAACTTATTTGTGCATTAATTTGTGGTTGAGAAAACAATATTGTTCATTATTGATTTCTAATAGCGATTAGGTTCTACAGTTTTTTTTCACATAAATGGGATGTTGTTTTGTTTTATTTATTATTTTTTTATTTGGGTAACAAGAAGAATTATGTTACAATTGGGGAATTATTGATTGTATTGATATTGATGTTATTTAGACTCTTCCCATTGTTATTTTTATGTCCTAAAATGCTTAACAAAGCCAAGATAGTTAGGTTTGTGTGAATGCATTTAACAGAGGGACAACATTGAAACTTCTTAATATATTGAACGTTGAAAATTCTTAATATATTGAAAGTCAAGTTACTTATGTGTTTATAGGATATTTATGTGTTTGTTTGATTTGGAAAACAAGAAGAATTATATTAAAATTGGGAAATTATTGGTGAAATTGATATTGATGATATTTACACTTACTAACAAAGTATGCACACCCACCTTCCATTGTTGTTAGGGATGTCCCAAAATAGTGTACCATCTTGAAGAGCCAAGAAACTAATACTGTTACCATCATTTTGTTTAGTTTGAATGCATTTAATAGATGGACAACTTTGAAAATCCTTACTATACTGTTAAAGTGTAAACATATTAATTCATTTGTTTTAAATTGGGATAGGTACGAAATTAGATGCATTCTTTATTTGTTTGTTTATTTTTAAATTGATGAGGGGCCGGTATTGTGATTTATGGGTGGAAAATTGAATTTAGGAAGGTGAGTAATCATTTAGTTTGTTGATCTGACATCACAGTAATTTATAATCTGCAAGATATTTGAGAAATTATTGAGAGGAGTTAGAATTCCATAGAGAAACTGATGGATTTGCAAAAATTCTGATTTATATCACTTGGGAGAACAGGAAAGTAGGTACTTGCAATTTGTACATGTTTGAATGATTTGGCAATTCTAGACGTAAGAGAGAATTTTTTATGATGGAGATTAATTTAGCTAATTAAATCTCTTACCGTTGATTGGAAAATTAGTACATTATTGAATTAAAATTGGCATATTCTAAGCTAACATAAAAAATTCATGTATTTGCGTGCAATGAAAAACAAATAGTTGACGAATAACATAGAATGGATGAACATTCAAATCTGATGCATTGCATTTAAAAAATTGTCCCATGTTCCCATCACAGAAATCGAATTTTGCCAGATAAAGAAGAATAATTTCCTTATTTTTTAAAAAAATGTGAATGATAAACACAATTTTTGAAATTTGATACATATCCTATTTATATCATTATGTGAAGAATTGTGGATACTTTTCTAAAGGTTTCGAATATTTTTCAGAGTATCACTGTAATTTTCCCAACATGAGAGCTATGCTACGCTACACTACACTACCCCAAAAAATAAAATTGAATAATTTGAGATGTTCTAATCTGTTCAAACACGCTTCTATTGTTGTGGAACTTTTTTCTTTTTTTCTTCTTTTTCCTTTTTCATATTATTAGCCTGTAGTTTTTTATAAGAAAAATAACATTGATTTGAGTTCATTTTGCAAAGCAATAAAATGCCATAATTGCTAAGTAGAAGATGGAAAAGCTGATGATGCCATGATCAGGAATTACCAGATTGTTTGTTGTAGTTTCTACTATAAAAAATGTGATTTGTGTGTGTGTGCGTGCGTGCGCCCACGTTTGAGATGTTCCTATCTGTTCAAACAATCTTTGTATGTTGGAATAAGGTTGTAGTTTTTATCATATTCCAGGTTATGTATTTCCTTTTACCTTTTATCATCTCTGTACTTAAAGGCTTTTATTTTTATTGGAATTCTTCTTCTTCTTTTATTTCAATTTTTATTTTTTATTTTTTATATTAAAAAAAATGGGATTTGTGCATTTTAATCTTAATATTATTTAAAGTTTGGTAGGCTTATATGCCACCAAACTGGGTTCCATTTTTTTTAAAAAAAAAAATTGGTGGGTTTGGATCCGATCAACATTCTTTATTTGTTTATAGATTTTTAAATTGAATGTTTAAATATGTTATCATACACTTGGACTTCATTCTAAGTAGTTTGCTTTTTGATTAAATGTGGTGACTATGGACTTCATTTTATCATGTTTGATTTCTACGTCCTCCTCCATCATATAACAGAGTAAAATTGATTTGTTAATTAGGTATTATCTGGATATCACCACCACCACAGCCACCGTCATCGTCTTTGCTTCAAACCCCCTCCAGTACCTCTCTCTCTCTCTCTCAAACCCTGTGTCTCTAAGGTTTAAATTGATGTTCTTTGTGGCTGTGTTTGTTCAAACCAGTGAGAAAGAATGTCTGGGTTCATCATGTTTCGTGACGATCTTGATGATGCATTGTGTGGTGTTGTTAGAAGATGTATAAGAGTAGAGTATTTATTGCTACATCTTTGTTACATTTGTGATTTTAATTTGTTTAGTTATGCAATATTGGTAATTGGTAAGTTGTGGTGAGTTCCATTTATTTAGGATTTAGCTTTACTCTTAGAACTGGACTACTACAAACTTTGATGAGATATTTATGCTATGGATGATATGAGACAATGGTGATTACATTTTTGTACCGTATTAACCTTTTTAATATGAATGGATATTTATGGTCAAATGCTGTATTTAATTCCAAGTGTTAATTGAAGAAGTTTGGAATTGTTGTTCATTTTATTGAGTATTGGAATTGCAAGGTGGTCAACTTAATTTTAGATGAAGCTGCTAAGAGGCCAACATAAATGCTTTAGATAATACAGTGAGGTGTAATGAAAAAAACTTGGTTAGATATGATTTAAGAAGAGTATAGTTTTGCATGTTGAATGGGGTGGAAAAGATTTCATGTTGCCTACATCAAGTATACAGGAGTGGAGGCAACTCGAGTGTTTTGTTTCAGTATTATTACTGATTGTAGTTAATGTGCTCTTTGTTTTTTTGACGTTTCCAATTTCCACATGTATATATATATATATTCATATGTATGTTCAAATTTATCTCATCCGAATTTAATGCTTTAATATGACATTTTGTATTTTATGTTTCAGTGAGGCTCCTTGGACTCTTCAATTGATTAATGTTCTTTTGCTAGCAAGGTTGAAGGTTTTATGCAGCAAATTAGCAGAGTTTGATTGATTTATTAATAAAGTTTGGCTGCTTGAAATGTATGGTCAGGGTAAAGATCACTCTATTTCTTATGTTTGATTGCTAACACACAGACTCTTCACATTAAGGTAAAGACTCTTGGCTCCAAATTAGGTGGGTCTTTCCTGTTTGTGTTTTCTGCTTTTAAATTGGTCTTTCATCTAAAAAAATTTCAAATTGGTCTTTCCTGTTTGGAAGATTTGGCATTTGTTTTCAGAAATCTCACCAAAGGTCTTTACGATATTTAATAAGGCCATGATTTTTGGGCTTTATATGTGTATCTCTATGAACTTTTTTTTTTCTCTTTTGAAATTTTTGGCATTATACTTTAACTACATGTCTCTTTTCAGTTATGATATTAAGAAAGATGTATGAAACTATGGATTTAAAAGGAATGTATGAAGAGGAGTTGTTTTGAGGAGTTGCATTTTTGCTTCCCATCTTACTTTGTTGTTGTCTACTGCATAAATTTTTTTATGCAAGAAGTTGTGATGGATGTTAGCATCCATATCTTTTAGAGAGAGAGTCATTTGAATCTTCGACTAAATCATTATGTGCTTCACATTACATGCATTTGGATATGAATAAGGTTTCCAACAGTGACGTGTGTGTGTGTGTTTGTATATATATATGAAACTGTAATGTTGAATTAGTATGACACGTGAAACAGGAGTATGAAAACATCATATTTGGCCTCATGATCACTTTGGAAGACCATCAACTTGGTGATTCCTAAGAATGTAATAATAGTTATAAAGTGATTTTCCTTTTAAAGGTTATTCTACATGTACACATGTTGAAAATAAAAAGGAAAATGTATCATCATAATGGAATAAAAAGGAAAATGTATCAGCAAAAAATTATGAGCAGTTGACAGTCAATTAGCAAGCTAAAAAATTATGAGCAGTTAAAATTTTCTTATGTAGTTATAATTTGATTGGCAACAGTAGCACTAATTGGTGTGCATTTTAATTTTAATTTTTTTTTAAATTGCAGAGCACTAGCTGGTATGTATTATTTGATATTTAATTTTTTTTATATTTGATTTGTTTGGAATTGTAAAGTACAGTCTGTTAAATATATTTTTATAACTACATTTTAATCTTAATATTATTTACACCGTGCCTTTAGGCACGGGCATACGCTAGTATATATATAAATGACATCCACACATCAAACACATTCTATTCAAATCATAATGAGTATATAGAAAGTACTCCATCCGTCCCAAAATAATAGTACCTTGTGGGGAATTTAATTTTTTTTGGGAGCACAATTATTACACTTTAAAAATATTAATTTTCTAAAATTACTCTTTGATAGTACATTTTTTTAGAAATATCATTGTCATAATTGTACTTGTTGTGTTGTCTAAATTCACTTGAACATATTCATTATATGAGTTAAAACTCAAAATAGGTGTAATTTCTAAATTTGATTACAACCTTCACTGGCGTTGAAGACAGTAACCACAAAGCGTATCACCTTCTATAGTCGCAGGGAAAGGATCAAAATCCTGCAGATGTGATCATCATCAGAAGCCTTACTATCAACATTAAAGTAAGAGAAGAAATTAATAGAATTCAGATTGAATTTATGAAAAACTTGATGTGAATTAGCCTTTAAACTAAAGTAAACACAATGATTGGAAAAGATTATATAAGCAAACTGAAAGATTATGGAATTAAATATAAATAAATTTTGTTTATAAAATTTATATTTTAACAAGATTATCATAATGAATACATGTTAAACATCCTTAAAACAATATTAAATTACCTCACTTAGCAATCCAAATGTTTTGCCTACAAAAGTATTTACATTGTGTGGTTTTGCATATTTTATGAGAGTCTCAAAAATTTTGATGGCTAATATTTGATGTCTTTAGTATTTAAATAAACTTCTCAAAATCAAGAGTTTGTAGGTAGGTGGAATCTTTAGAGATCTCTATCTTTTAGTTGTGGCAGTCAAATGAAACCTATCATTTGAATTAGATATACACCTGTAACAATTTATTTGGGTGACCGATCGAGCAGTCAATCGATCGCTCGCATAGAGATGTGAGGCTTCCAGTATCTTGCTAGTTTGGCCCCATTTGGTAAAGTTGTGAGAAAGTGATTATAAATTATAGCTTAACAGATTATAACTTATAGCTATGAGCATAAGTTATTAATCTGTTTGGTACAGCTGTGAGATTATGGATTTAAGCAGCAGAGTAGTGTTGGTAGATAAGCTGTAAAATAGCTTCTTTTTTTTTTTGTATAATTGTCCTTTTTGCCCTTATATGATATAAAAATGATAATTTTGTCATTTTTTTTTCAATTAACATAATTAGTATTAATTAGTATCAATTTATATAAAAATTGATACATTTGATAAAAATGTAATGGCTTAATTAGTCTCAATTAATACTAAAATTATTAATTAGTATCAATTAATATTAATAATTTTTTTTCCTTGTTTCTTTTATTTATTTTTTCTTTTCTTAATTGATACATTTTCTTTTTTTCTCCTTGTTTCTTTCTTTTCTTAATTAATATTAATAATTAGTATCAATTAATATATATATATATATATATATTTCTTTTATTTTTTTCTCTTTTCTTAATTAGTCTCAATGATATAAAAATGTAATTTTTTTTTCAATTAAAAATTGATACATTTTTTTTTCTTTTATTATTATTGGCTTAATTTTTTTTCTTAATAATTTTCTTTTCTTCAAAATTGATACATTTCCTTGTTTCTTTTTATAATCCTAAAAATGTAATGGCTTAATTAGTCTCAATTAATACTAAAATCACCTACCTCTACTCCACTACACACTCCACTTCACCTACCTCTACTCCACTACACACTCCACTTCACCTACCTCTACTCCACTACACACTCCACTTCACCTACCTCTACTCCACTACACACTCCACTTCACCTACCTCTACTCCACTACACACTCCACTTCACCTACCTCTACTCCACTACACACTCCACTTCACCTACCTCTACTCCACTACACACTCCACTTCACCTACCTCTACTCCACTACACACTCCACTTCACCTACCTCTACTCCACTACACACTCCACTTCACCTACCTCTACTCCACTACACACTCCACTTCACCTACCTCTACTCCACTACACACTCCACTTCACCTACCTCTACTCCACTACACACTCCACTTCACCTACCTCTACTCCACTACACACTCCACTTCACCTACCTCTACTCCACTACACACTCCACTTCACCTACCTCTACTCCACTACACACTCCACTTCACCTACCTCTACTCCACTACACACTCCACTTCACCTACCTCTACTCCACTACACACTCCACTTCACCTACCTCTACTCCACTACACACTCCACTTCACCTACCTCTACTCCACTACACACTCCACTTCACCTACCTCTACTCCACTACACACTCCACTTCACCTACCTCTACTCCACTACACACTCCACTTCACCTACCTCTACTCCACTACACACTCCACTTCACCTACCTCTACTCCACTACACACTCCACTTCACCTACCTCTACTCCACTACACACTCCACTTCACCTACCTCTACTCCACTACACACTCCACTTCACCTACCTCTACTCCACTACACACTCCACTTCACCTACCTCTACTCCACTACACACTCCACTTCACCTACCTCTACTCCACTACACACTCCACTTCACCTACCTCTACTCCACTACACACTCCACTTCACCTACCTCTACTCCACTACACACTCCACTTCACCTACCTCTACTCCACTACACACTCCACTTCACCTACCTCTACTCCACTACACACTCCACTTCACCTACCTCTACTCCACTACACACTCCACTTCACCTACCTCTACTCCACTACACACTCCACTTCACCTACCTCTACTCCACTACACACTCCACTTCACCTACCTCTACTCCACTACACACTCCACTTCACCTACCTCTACTCCACTACACACTCCACTTCACCTACCTCTACTCCACTACACACTCCACTTCACCTACCTCTACTCCACTACACACTCCACTTCACCTACCTCTACTCCACTACACACTCCACTTCACCTACCTCTACTCCACTACACACTCCACTTCACCTACCTCTACTCCACTACACACTCCACTTCACCTACCTCTACTCCACTACACACTCCACTTCACCTACCTCTACTCCACTACACACTCCACTTCACCTACCTCTACTCCACTACACACTCCACTTCACCTACCTCTACTCCACTACACACTCCACTTCACCTACCTCTACTCCACTACACACTCCACTTCACCTACCTCTACTCCACTACACACTCCACTTCACCTACCTCTACTCCACTACACACTCCACTTCACCTACCTCTACTCCACTACACACTCCACTTCACCTACCTCTACTCCACTACACACTCCACTTCACCTACCTCTACTCCACTACACACTCCACTTCACCTACCTCTACTCCACTACACACTCCACTTCACCTACCTCTACTCCACTACACACTCCACTTCACCTACCTCTACTCCACTACACACTCCACTTCACCTACCTCTACTCCACTACACACTCCACTTCACCTACCTCTACTCCACTACACACTCCACTTCACCTACCTCTACTCCACTACACACTCCACTTCACCTACCTCTACTCCACTACACACTCCACTTCACCTACCTCTACTCCACTACACACTCCACTTCACCTACCTCTACTCCACTACACACTCCACTTCACCTACCTCTACTCCACTACACACTCCACTTCACCTACCTCTACTCCACTACACACTCCACTTCACCTACCTCTACTCCACTACACACTCCACTTCACCTACCTCTACTCCACTACACACTCCACTTCACCTACCTCTACTCCACTACACACTCCACTTCACCTACCTCTACTCCACTACACACTCCACTTCACCTACCTCTACTCCACTACACACTCCACTTCACCTACCTCTACTCCACTACACACTCCACTTCACCTACCTCTACTCCACTACACACTCCACTTCACCTACCTCTACTCCACTACACACTCCACTTCACCTACCTCTACTCCACTACACACTCCACTTCACCTACCTCTACTCCACTACACACTCCACTTCACCTACCTCTACTCCACTACACACTCCACTTCACCTACCTCTACTCCACTACACACTCCACTTCACCTACCTCTACTCCACTACACACTCCACTTCACCTACCTCTACTCCACTACACACTCCACTTCACCTACCTCTACTCCACTACACACTCCACTTCACCTACCTCTACTCCACTACACACTCCACTTCACCTACCTCTACTCCACTACACACTCCACTTCACCTACCTCTACTCCACTACACACTCCACTTCACCTACCTCTACTCCACTACACACTCCACTTCACCT